GATTGATTTAAATTATTAAAATAAGATCTATGATAAACTTTACAATCCTAAACAATACTTTTTAATTTAAATTTGAACAGAAAAAAGCCTAACTCTTCTTATGAGCAAGAGGAATCACTCACTCAACCAAATTGTGATGTGCAACCATCACACCCATATAATGGATCCGTTTGATAGAGTTGTGAGAAAGTAATTTTAGCTTATAACTTAGGTCCAGTTTGGCATAACCTAAATAATACAAAAAGTCAAAAAGTCACTATTCTATTTAAGTCACATCATCTTATTTAAATCACATCACCTCTTTAACACATCACATCAAACCCAACCCATAAAAGCCAATAAGTCAAAAAGTGCACTTTTTTAGAACATTTCAAAGTTCAAACTAACCCTTAATAGCTTATAACTTATAATTGGGAACATAAGTTAATTTTTGACTTATAAATTAAGCTTCTCCTTCCCCACTCAAAGAATAAGTTGATTTTTGATTTACAAAAAGTTATAAGTTGTATTATTAAACTGAACTAAACACATCAAAATAGCTTAAATTAAGTTAAAAACTGAAATAAGCCTTACCAAACAGGGTCAATGTATGCTTTCCGGTAATGTAGATTTGTTTTAAAAAATAAGCTAAAATTTATTTTTTTTAAAAAAATATATATATATTAAAAAACAATATGACTTTAAAAAATTAAAAAAAAAAAAAAAAATCTTAGTTTTTGGATCTAAAACTACGTAACTTAAGTGACATTAAAATTCTTAAATTGTTAATTAAAGTCGTGAAACATTGGATTTGTCTAAGCAATGTGAAAATGAAAATAAATCACATAAAATAATGATAATCTTAGTTTTTGGATTGAAAAGTAAAATAACTTGAGTGACTTTCAAATTCTTAAATTGTTAGCTAAAATCATCTGCTTCTCACGTTCTGTGAATAGTCGGGACATTGAGAAATATCCATAAAGGCATTTCGGACTAAAACATTAGATATTTGTTTCACCAAACCTATTTTATTTATTTATTTATTTATTTATTTTTATTTTAAAGTTCACAACAAAAGTTAAATATACATTTAATTTTTTTTATTCTTTTAAACAACAAAAGCTAAATATAAATTCAAATTTTTTATTTTATTTTATTTATTTATTTTCTCTTAAGGTTCACAACAAAAGCTAAATGCACATTATTTTTTTCTTTTCTTTTCTCTCTTTCTTTCTTTCTTTTTTGTTTTTGTTTTTGTTTTTGTTTTTGTTTTTTGTTTTTGTTTTTAAGATTCACAACAAAAGCTAAATTATATTCAATCTTATTTTATTTTATTTGATTCAACAATAAAATCAAATACACATTAATTAATTAATTAAAAAATTTGTTTTAACATAATCAAATATATAATTTTGAGACAATCAACTAAGTTTTAGTAATTATAAAAAAATGTGGGTTGAACAAAATCCTAAAGTCAATAAATATCAATTATCCTCGGATTATACCTCACAATGGGTTGAACAAAATTACATCAGACAGAACGCGCACAAAATGGGGATGAAGAAATCACTGGGTTCGGAAAAAATATAACAAAGGTCTCACTTGGTATCTTCAAAACTTGGTATCAGTCAACATTCACTACAATATTTTCTTAATTTTGTGACATTTGAAAGTGCCACAAAACTATTCTTCTAATGACATTTTTTGATCTTGTGGCATTTTGAACAAGTGCCACTTCTATCAGTGCCACCATAGATACGAGTGCCACGGTAGATACTTGCAAGTGCCACTGCACCATCATGGCTGAAAACTTTCAAAGACATTTTAATGTCATTGTAAGTGTTAATACACCATTAAGACTAAAACCTTTCAGTGACACTTTAATGTCATGGTAGGCACTATTCGTGACGCTATCAAGTGTCATTCATGACGATAATTCGTTGTAGAACCATTTGATCCGCTCTTGCGGAGACTCGAACCGCCAACCTTCCACACCATAAACCTTATACACCACACTCTTCCCACTGCACCTCTATAGCACCACATGATTATATATGCAACATATATTATTTATATAGTACATACATCCATATTAATATAAAAGTATATGTATAAATATAATTATTTTATTGAACATAATTTATGTAAAATAAACTATTTACTACCAAAATAAAAAAAAGACCACTTTTGGTGACTAAAAATATTTTTAGTCGCCAATTCTATACTTTTGGCTACTAATTGTTTTTTAGTTGCTAAAAAACTTAACTTTTGTCGACCAAAATCAGATTTGGTCGCCGAAGATGCACTTTCAGCTACCAAAATTTTGGTCACCAAAAAATTTTATTCCCGCCTTAGGATTTTAGTTCTCCTGCGCTAAAAATGACCACTTTTGGCGACTAAACCTATTTTTTAGTCGCCAATTGTAGACTTTTGGCTACTAAAATTTTTTTTGCACAAAAAAGCTTTACTTTTGGCTATTAAAATTTTTTTAGTCGGTAAAACCCATATAATCAGCGACCAAACTTATTTCTAGTCGCAAATTGTAGACTTTTGGCTACTAAATTTTTTTAGTCGCCAAAAAGCTTTACTTTGGGCTACTAAAAAATTTTTAGTCACTAAAACCTATATAATGAGCGACCAAACTTAGTTTTAGTCGCCAATTGTAGCCTTTTGGCTACTAAAATTGTTTAGTCGTCAAAAAACTTTACTTTTGGCAACTAATGCTGTTTTGGTCGCTGAAAGCTATACTTTCAGCGACCAAATTTTTTGGTCAGGAAATTTAGTCGCTGAATATGTTTTTTCCTGTAGTGTATATTGAGTTTAATTCATTTATTTTTAATCATTTACTACATTTTAAAAATTTAGAAAATATATTGGAATTTTTTATTTTTTCAAAAATGTCATTATAAGCTTAGAAAGTTTTTGGCTTAGTGGCATTTCTCAAAATGTTATAAAGTATTTGTTTATGACACTTTTCACCTAAGTGCCATAAAAAGTAATTTGCACCTACTTAGTGTCCTGACATTTTTTTAAAAAATGCCATTGCAAATATTCATAAAAAGTTTTTGTAGTGACATTTTTGTTGTAGTGAAGTGACACTTTTTTTAATTGAAATGCCACTAGAGCCTTGTATGTTTGTGGCTCTAAGACATTTTTCTAAACAATGCCACCAAATATTCTTTTTGTGACATTTTTTAAGAACATGCCACTAGTATGGTGTCACTAAAATATATTTTTGTTGTAGTGTTGTGACACTTGTTCATTGAAATGTCACTAGAGCCTTTTATGTTTGTTGTTTTGTGGCATTTTTCAAAAACATGCCACTAAATATCATTTTTTGTGGCATTTTCTAAAAATATGCCACTAGTGTAGTGCCACTAAAGTATGTTTTTGTTGTAGTGATTACCTCATCTATTTCCCATACAAGTGTTCAAATGGTGGCCATCACAACATTTTCTTCAATTCAATCTATACTATATATTAAGCAAAAGGGGTTTTTAACCCCAAGGGCTGTGGGAGTTTCAATATGTCAATCCCAATTTTCTAATTTTTTGTTTTTTTTTAAAAAGTAACCTCAACATTTATTAACTTCTCTCAACTCATAAGACTTTTTGACTTCTCTCATAATTACTAAAGTACATTTTCCAAAACAAATAATTTGTATATTAAAAAAAATTTAAAACAAATATAAATATCTATATCTATATCTACCTATTTATTTATATCTATCTCTAACCCACAAGTTTTGTGGGAGTTCCAATATCTGAACCTTAATTTCTTAATTTTTTTGATTTTTTTTGAAAAAAAAAACTTAGCACTTATTAAATTCTTCCAAGTTTTTTTAACTTCTCCAATGCACACACTCTTTTTAACTTTTCACATACCTATTACAAACAGTGAGTCTTCCTTTTGTTTTCTCCTTCTTTACTTCTCACTTCTACACTTTTAACTTTAGTGACGACGTATGCAAACAGTAAGTCTTTTTTTTGTTTTCTCCTTCTTGACTTTTCCTGTAGTTAGATAGCGTATAAAAATATTTGTGATTTGTCTAGCGAATAAAAAATTATAATTAGATTTTTTAATATGATTGAAGTTAGATAAATATAAACCCTCACAAAGAGAAAAATGTGATTATAATTAGTTGAATGATTCTTTTTTTTTTAATGTGATTGTAGTTAGTTTAATAGTTCTTTTTTTTCATTTATTTATTTTATTATGGGAAAAATGTGATGTGATTGTAATTTGTTCAATGACTCTTTTTTTAAATATGATTGTTGTAGTTAGTTCAATGTTTTTTTTAATGTTATTTAATCTTTTTTATTTACTATTTTAATTTTATTTTTGATTTTTTAATATGATTGAAGTTAGATAAATATAAGGGTTTTTTTTAAGGTCCCTGGTATTATGATTTTAGAGCATAAAGGACACTCAATATTTTTATAATGTCTAAGGTCCCTTAACCTTGATCCAGAGAAATTTAAGTACAGAGAAAATTAGTCCAGAGAAATTCTGGCCCAAAGAAATTTTAAATTTCTCTGGACCAAATTTCTCTAGAAAGTCTAGAGAAATTCTGAATTTCTCATAATTTCTCTGGTCCAATTATTCTCATAATTTCTCTGGCCCAATTCTTCCTAGAATTTCTCAGCATTTCTCTAATGCATTGGCTGAGTCCAGAGAAATTGAATTTCTCTGGTCCAATTCTTCTTAGAATTTTTCTGGCCCAATCCTTCCTAGAATTTCTCTGATGCATTAACTGATTGTCCTGACCATATGCAATCACATGTTTTTATGGACATTAGGTAGTTTAACAATGATCTACTTATTTCCTATGCTCTCATAAATATGATGTGTTTATTTTTCAGAAGTTTAGTTCCACTTCTAACGTTTCACTCTTAACTTACCCATTTTCATTCATTTTCCGACCCTATACTTCAATACCATTTAGCCTGCTTTTTGAATTTTTGTCCTTTTTCTCCTGAGAAAAGATTTGTGTAAAACAAAGCTGTCTTCGTTTGCAGTTCATGCCCAAGAAAGCAGGCACCCCTAAGAAGAATAAGATCATATTCATTACCCCAACAAGTAAGGAGATCATCAACAGAAAACAGTTGGAACAATACCTGAAATCACATCCTGGAAATCCAGCCATATCTGAGTTTGATTGGGGAACTGGTGAAACCCCAAGGAGGTCAGCCAGGATCAGTGAGAAAGCAAAGGCAATCTAGAGAAATTTCCAATCCAAATCAGAGAATTTCTCTGGACCAACCCAGAGAAATTTCAGTTCAAACCAGAGAAAATTAAACAAACTGAGTTTAAATTAGAGAAATCCAGAGAATTTCTCTGGACCAGGAAATAATTTCTCTAGACTCACTTCAACCCAGAGAAATTTCCTCAAAACTAGAGAAATTTCCCTTAAAAACCCAGAGAAATTTATTCAAACAGTAAGCTGAAGTGAAAAGAAAATTTCTCTGGGTTGAGAATTTCTCTGGGTTGAAAATTTATCTGGAGAAAATTCAGTTCAAATGAAAAAAAAAATAATTGAAATAGATGTTCAAAATAAAGAGATTCATTGACAGTCTTGTGGTGCAAAATAAGCCCCAATCCAAGACCAGCACGTAAGAAACAAGAAACATACCCATAAAATCTTCTTAAAGAAAACAGTAATCAAATAGCATGGAATAAATTGACTTCTTGAAAGCCAAGAAATTTATATACCAAATTCTAAACATTGACATATGTCATTATAAATTCAGCAAATCTGGACTACTGTTCTACTATTGGAGTTCAAACCCAGTGCTCAAACAGTGATTACTGCTATTTCAACACCACTTGAAAGAGTACTTTTGTACACTGTGCCATCTGATATAGAGCCAATTATATTACTGAAATCTTCACAAGCTGCTTCTAGTTCTGATCACTGGAGCTTTGGTACACCTAGAATTCAAACGCTCAAACATGAATAATATATATAAATACATACATTGACAAGTTCAATGCTCTTGGTATGAACGAGGGGACATTAGGTCCTAAGCATTACACTTCCCTAGAGTATAAACAAGCAATTAACCTTCATTCTTGTAAGAAAAAGGAATAACCTGTTACAAATGCTTTCTGCAGCTGCCCACTTAACCCTGTTGCCCAAGGTTTGACAGTAATGACCTTGTTGCTTCGAAAGTAAAAAATGCCAAGGGCCGAAAAAAATATGAATAAAGATCCCACCGTCACTCCAGACCATAGCAAAATTGTATGTTGCTTCGAATTGAAACTCTGTGGTACATTTTGGCTAGAAGTTGAAGCAGGAGAAGGCCAAGGAACAGGATGGTGCACTGGTGGCTTAGAATCAAGTGGTGGATTTGATGGAGAAAGTGAAGGTGGACTTGTTGGTGGCCTAGGTGATGGTGAAGGGACCAAAGAATCTGGTGGGGAAGCATGTGGAGAATCTGGTGGTAATGATATAGATCCTGATGGAGGATATGGAAAAGATGAGAATGGTGAATTTGAGGGAGAGACTGAAAGTGAAACCGTTGATGGATCTCGTTACCTCCAGACTCCCTTTTCTTGAGCTGGATCTCGGACCACGAATCCATGGTGACCGGTAAACCCACAAGCACCACGGTGAACGGCGAGCCCACCTAGAAACAAACAATGCCACAGGACATGCCACAAACCAGCATAGAAACACAACCCAGAACAAAGAGAATTTCTAGGAACAAACGACGGAGGTCTGCGACGGTGGCGGAGCGGAGGGAGGAGTCGGAGGAGAAGGTGTTGAGGAAGAGGTCGTAGAGAAGGGTGGGGGAGCAGAGCTTGTTGCCTTGGATCTGGAAGACAGTGGGTGAGAGGAGAAGAGAGAGAGAGTAGAGTAGAGTAGTGACAAATAGTCAAATTTCTCTGATATATGTTTAGGGACCTTAGATATCAAAAAATAATTTTATGGATCTCTTCCCTTACGAAAAGTGGGAGAGAGACCCTAGACCAATTTTCCCTAAATATAAACCCTCACAAAGAGAAAAATGTGATTATAATTAGTTGAATGATTTTTTTTTAATGTGATTGCAATTAGTTTAATAGTTATTTTTTTCATTTATTTATTTTATTATAGAAAAAATGTGATGTGGTTGTAGTTTGTTCAATGACTCTTTTTTTTTTTAATATGATTGTTGTAGTTAGTTCAATGTTTTTTTTTAATGTTATTTAATCTTTTTATTTACTATTTTAATTTTATTTTTAATATGATTGAAGTTAGATAAACATAAAACTCACAAAGAAAAAAAATGTGATTGTAGGTAGTTCAATGGATCTTTTTTTTTTAATGTGATTGCAGTTAGCCAATGGTTCTTTTTTTCATTTATTTATTTTTTTTATTATGGAAAACATGTGATGTGATTGTAATTTGTTCAATTGTTCTTTTTTTTAATGTGATTTAATATTTTATTTATTGTTTTAATGGTTTTTTCTTTACAATTATTTATGAAAAAAATATGATTGTAGTTAGATAGCATAAAAACATTTGTAATTTGATTTGATTTTTTTTCTGACTTGATTTTTAAAGTATCAATTATTGAAAATGATTAGATTGTATTTTGAAAAAAAAACTGTAATTGATTTTTTTAACTCACTGTTTTTTTTGAAAAAAAAATTATTGTGTTTTTTTTTAAACTATCAATTCACTTAATTTGTGATTTGATTTTAACTCACTGTGTTTTTTGAAAAACAAAATGGATTGTACTCATTAGGGTCACATAATGTACTAATTATTGATGATTATTAGATTGTATTTTGACCAAAATTTTTTTTGTAATTGATCTTTTTAACTAACTATGCTTTTTGAAAAATAAATTATTGTGCTTTTTAATTATCAATTAACTTAATTTGCGATTGATTTTTTTAATTATTGATGATGATTAGATAGCATTAAAAAAATTGTGATTTGTATGATTGAAGTTATCTCCTTTTGTTTATAATTTTATTTTTTAATATGATTGAGGTTAGATAAATATAAATACTCACAAAAAGAAAAATGTGATTGTACCTTGTTCAATGGTTCTACATAATCTTTTTTATTAACTATTGTAATGGTTATTTTTTTCAATTATTTTTTTTATTATGAGAAAAATGTCATTGTAGTTAGATAGGATTAAAAAAAAATTATGATTTGTATGATTGAAGTTATCTCATTTTGTTTATAATTTGATTTTTTAATATGATTGAAGTTAACTCACAAAAAGAAAATTGTTATTATAGTTTGTTCAACGGCTCTAAATAATATTTTTATTTACTATGATTCTTTTTTTAGTTATTTATTTTTATTATGAGAAAAATATGATTGTAGTTAGATAGCATTAAACAAATTGTGATTTGTATGATTGAAGTTATCTCCTTTTTTTTATAATTTAATTTTTTTAATATGATTTAAGTTAGATAAACATAAACACTCACAAAAAGAAAAATGTGATTGTAGTTTGTTCAATGCAATAATCTTTTTATTTACTATTTTAATGGTTCTTTTTTTCAATTTTTTTTTTATTATGAGAAAAATGTGACTGTAGTTAGATAGCATTAAAAAAAATGCAATTTTTATGATTAAAGTTATCTTCTTTTGTTTATAATTTGATTTTTTAATATGATTGAAATTAGATAAACTTAAACACTCACAATAAGAAAAATGTGGTTGTAGTTTGTTCAATACTTCTAAATAATCTTTTTATTTACTATTTTAATGGTCCTTTTTTTCAATTATTTTTTTTTATTATGAGAAAAATATGATTGTAGTTAGATAGCCTTAAAAAAATTGTGATGATTGAAGTTATCTCTTTTTATTTATAATTTGATTTTTTTAGGGAGACTTATTTATAAGTCTTACACTACAAGAAAACTGGGTATATGAGACGGAACTATTTGTGACGGCACACTTGCCGTCTCAAAAAGTCACTTTTTGCGACGGCAGAAAATGCCGTCTCAGTCCTGTGCAATTTCTTATAGAGTCTCAAGTAGATAGGAATGTATTCCACAAGATCCTATGAGTTGTAAATAAATGATATTAATATACTGTTATACACTATAATGGCAAAACCATATATAGGAAATTGAATGCTACCATAGAAAGTAGCATTTTCACATTCAATTAAAAAAATCAAAAACCCAGTAAGTTTGCGAAACGTAACGTAACACGTTATGTTACGTTTATGTAGGTGTCACGTTACGTTACGTTTATGCAGGTGTCACGTCACGTTACGTTTATGCAAGTGTCACGTCACGTTACATTTATATAGGTGTCACGTTACGTTACGTTTATGTAGGTGTCACGCCACGTCACGTTACGTTTATGTAATGTCCCATCTGATATGGTCACGTTACGTTTCGCAAACTTAATCTATGGTAACATTCAATTTCCTATATACGATTTTACCATTATTTATAATATTAACAACTAATATTGAGGGTAAATGTGTCAACAAACTTCACACAAGACTTATGTAAACATAAGTTTTTTAGTAGGACCATATGTAGCATAAATCTCCCTAATAGGACTTATAAATAATTTTTCTATTTTTTTAATATTAGTGAAATAAGATAAACATAAACATTCACAAAAAGAAAAATGTGATTGTAGTTTGTTCAATGGTTCTAAATAATTTTCTTATTTACTATTTTATTGGTTCTTTTTTAAAAGTTATTTGTTTTATTATGAGAAAAATATGATTGTAGTTAGATAGCATTAAAAAAAATTGTGATTTGTATGATTTGAAGTTATTTCATTTTTATAAAATCTTAAAAAACGTAATTTATATATTAAAAAAAATTTAAAACAAATATAAATATCTATAATTATCCCGTGCATAGCATGGGTGATAGGTTAGTATGTATATAACAGAAAAGTAATTGCTAATCAACACTACAATATCACAAAATCATTGAAAAATCCCAAGTTGATTATATGTTGTTTTTAAGCTTTGAGAGTATAGGTTAGTTGTTTGTCTTTGGTTTTGACACATTAAATACAATGATTATCAATCACATAGTGTGTTCATGAACAGTAGTAGCAACACTCCATCAACAGCAGCATTTCATCAAGACTAATCTATGCATAAGCCCTGTCAAGATTTGTCTGCACCAATGCTTCACTGCTCCAATGTTCACTCTCTTGTGCTTTTGCCTGTACCTATCACACACACACAAAAAGAAAAGAGAAAGAAAAAGGAAAAGAAACCAGAGAATTAAAAAGTTGAACAATGGTTAAAAACAAAATACATAGGATGCAAGTATAACATCATGCAATTTTAAAACATGCCCCAAAAAATTGACAAATGCAAACTGTTATTCAACAACATGAGGTTCTTTGCTCAATCTGCCATGCTTTTTGGGATTACCTTTCTTCTCCTCATCTTGTTCTTTTTCCTCATCAGAGTTCAATTCTTCAATAATTGGCCCCCTAGATCTGCTGGGCTAGGAGACTTGATGTTCAACAAACCCAGAATTATAAAAACCAAAAATAGATAATATCATGTTCATAGTGCAAGAGATTCTCCTAGTACAGCTGAAAGCCAAGGGGAACAAATAAATTTGAATTATTAAAGGACAAGGTGCATAACTTAAAATGAACAGCAAAACCCTCAGAATTTTGTGTGTTACAAAATCAACTTATTTTGAGCACAACAGCTACAATCCTATGCATAAATATTGAATTAATATTACCTCAACACTACCAAAGGGAAACAAATTCACAAATAAGAATAAAATCAATGTACTAAAGGCATACCCATTGCAAAAGAAAGATAAACTCTGATTCACATCCATATCATCATATATAGTGGCGTAACCAACTGATTCTAATGTTGAATTTCCTAAAAAATAAGAAGAAAAAAGTTAAGTATTGAGACTATTCAATGAAAATATATTTATTTTAAAAATAAATATATGTTGATTTATTCATGTACCTTGCATCTCTATAGCCCATAACCAACTCTGTGCACACATCAATGCTTCCAAAGTATCTGGATGAAATCTACTCTGATACGGGCTCACCAACATACCACTAGTGCTAAATGCAGACTCAGAAGCAACGGTGGATACCGGAATAGCTAAAAAATCCCTAGCTATTGCCTGTAAGGTTGGATACTTCGATGCATTTGATTTCCACCAAGTCAACACATCAAAATTGGGAGTTCTTGTCACAACATCCTCTCTTAAATAATGGTCAAACTCTGATGTTACATTATTGACTTTTTTTCTTCACTTTCTACTAATAAACAAATCATAATCTGAAACTACCTCTGAATACCCAAAATTTGAACTTGTAGAAGATTCAACATTAGCATCAGTTCCCAAACTAAGTTTTCTTTGATACTCTTGCAACAAATCATAATAAAGTTGGCGAATCTTCGTAATTTTCTCTTCAGCTGTAGCTCCATAAAGTTTATCAAAATAAAACTCCAACACATTAAGTTTGTACCTAGGATCAAGTACAACAGCAACCCCTATAAGACCATGTATAATAACCCAATATTTGTCAAACTTTCCCAACATTTTTGATGCCATTGATCTAACAACCTCAATTGAACAAGAGAGCCATTGGGAGATAGTTATCCTAATCTCACATAAATTTAGAAAAGCAACATTAGTTGTGGGATATTTAGTTGCTTTATAAAATATTTTAAATCTCCCACAAATTTCTCTAGCAAACTCCCACTCCTCCTCACTTGGCAATGTTGTATATTGGGTCTCTTTATATTTCAAACGGTAAAATACATCCTTATATAACAAGGCAGTTTGAAGCATCAAATATGTTGAATTCCACCTAGTAGCACAATCAAGTCCCATCTTTTTAGTATTCAAATTTTTCACTTGACGAGCTGTTTCTACAAATTTTTCTACTCTTTTAGGAGTTGCTATCCAATAAGCTACACTATCCCGAATTTTCTCTACACCTACTCTTATCACATTCAATCCATCTTTGGCAATCAAATTGAGAATATGTGCACAACAACACATATGGAGCAAAGTCTCACCCAAAAGAAGAGGACTACTATCCAATTTATCCAACAAAATGTTAATCATCGCATCATTGGTGGAACAATTATCAATAGTGATAGCAGATACTTTTCTATCAAGATCCCAATCCATCAAACAATTGAGCAAAGTATCACAAAGAACTTCTTTTGTGTGTGGACATGGAACATAAATGAACCTAAAATCATAAATTAAAACATAAATTCTAGGAAATTGAGTTACACCAAATGATTAGAACATGGATTTCATACCCATATAAGGAATATCTATTCACTCCATATCAATAACTGAGCTGGATTTGGTTATATCATAAGGTGGGAAGGGGAAAAGGAAAGGGACAGGGAAATGTAAAAAATAAACCAGAATTATTGAGACAGTTAAACAAAGCATTTTAATAGATAAGCAAAACAAAGTATACCGATGCAAATAACTTCGTTATTGTATTAAAAGTGAGGCATTCTTTTGCACAATTACACTCTGGTCAAAATAGACGGCAAATTTATTAAACATTAAATAACTGCAATGTCATTGAAAGGTGAAAGAGCAAGAAACATCGCTGGCAGCAAGAACGATTTCTAATGCCAACTCCGGTTATGAGAATTCTACTGAAAAAATAAACACAGTCCCAAGTATTTTCTTGAAAGTATCTATCCTCCATTACACCACTTGAAGAACATGGATTTACAATTTTGGTATGGGTCAACTTGGTTTTCTCGTGCTTCAATTTTCATTTTCATTGGGTTTCTTAGAGGATGTATTGCTCAATGATGAGTCTGCTTGATCCTGTGTCTTAATTGTCAATTTTATTGCATAGGTCAATGAAGAAATAATTTACAATTCCAAGAAAATATAGGTTAGTTGTTTGTCTTTGGTTTTGACACATTAAATACAATGATTATCAATCACATAGTGTGTTCATAAACAAGGTCTATAATCTTTCATCTAATTCTACAATTCCATGAACTATTTAAGATAACCAATTGATCCTAATGTTGAGAAAGAGTAAGAAAGATAAAACAAGGTCTATAATCTTTCATCTAATTCTACAATTCCATGAACTGTAATCTCCAATTTCAACTACCCAACCAATTATTAACTCTATATCATCATGATGGTCAGGAAAATGATAGAACAGAGATTAACCCAAAAAATCATCAATACATGTTCATAAGTGCATCTACAAAAATGCAAAAATAAATTAACCCGAAAAATCAATCATCAACTAGGCATTTGCCCATATGGGTTTCTCAATCAGACCCAAAAACAGAGCAAAAATAGCCGAAGAACAAGAGAGAACAGAGATTAACCCAAAAAATCATCAGTACATGCTCATAAGTGCATCTACAAACATGCAAAAATAAATTAACCAAAAAAATCAATCATCAACTAGGCATTTGCCCATATGGGTTTCTCAACCAGACCCAAAAACAGAGCAAAAATAGCCGAAGAACAAGAGAAAAGGAGAGAGAGAGAGAGAGAGAGAGAGAGAGATAGAGAAAGAGAAACGAGCGATAGAACTCACCACACTGGAGAACTGTGTTAAGCGCCAATGAGATCGCCGGAGAACTCTGATCTCTAGCTGCTTTCGATGCTGGAACTCTAGTTGCTTTCGGTGCTGGAACTCTGGACTGGGAGAGTGAGAAAACCTAGTTGTAAACAGGATGTCAAAACATACGGAGAAATGAGCTCGACCCATGAAAAATAGGGGAAACCCACGTATTTTGGGTAGGGTCTCCATGGGTAACCATTGGGTACGGTTTCTATTGCCAACAATAATATAAATTTATTTTAATAATAATAAGATGATTATATCTGAGTAGCCATACAGTATGGTATCTTTTGTAGGACCAATCACATTTGTTACCTAGAAACATCAAATAATACGACCAAAGGCAAAGGTACAACAGGGCCAGTGGGCCATGTACCCCTTAGTTTTGAATTTTTTGTATTTTATTTTTATTATTATCATGTATAAAATATATATATATACATATATATATTTTTCTTGACATGTTCTTTAGCTAAAAGTTTATTATATTATTCACAATAAGTAGTTATTTGATACGTTAGGAACACTATGTGATATTGTTTATATAGTAGTTTAAATCAATAGTGTAGCGAAAAATATTATAGATTGGATATAATGAACTCATTATTTTCAAATAGTTGACATACCACTTATGTGTGATTTGTGATTTTTTATGCTTTGAGTATCACGTAGGCAACGACATATGGTATTTTAAGACTATTTAATAATTTTCATCCAAAATAAATCATTTGTAAACAATATCATCTCTTTAATATTTTTCTGTCAAATAAAAATAAATAGATTTTATAATAATTTGTACTACAAATGATGTGTTTTTATTTTTTAAAATTAAGAATTTTGATTTATAATTTTTTGTGCTAAAATTACAAACTTGTATCATCATCTCACACCAAGTTATTCTACACTATTATAATTTTGATTTGTTCTTATTAATAATGAATATGTAATTTTTTATGTTTAAATTTATCTCATAAAATTATTATTATCTTAATGTTGCTCATGATTTTTTTTTAAATAAAAAATTATAATTAATAAGTGTCCCCTTTAACTTAATTTTCTGACTCCGCCACTATACATAACAACATAGTTCCCAATGCTAACTCCCGACAAAACTTATGTGATAATATTAAAATTTACAAAAAATATTGATAGCTCGAATTTGTGGCTCGAAAATGGCCCGACTTTTATATACACCCATATATCTTTCTACACCCCCATTGTTATTCATCTTTGTTTTACCTTTCATTTGAAAAAAAAAAAGACAAAGAGAGGAGACCCATATTGCCACCCATATCGCTGATTTACTGTGCTGGTTTTGTGTGTGCCGACGAGGCTGGTGCTGGTTTTGTGTGTGCCGACGAGCTCTACCATCAGCTTCAGCAGCCACCAAACGAGCTCATTCTCTTCATTCCATTTCCGATTACTAATCGAATCGGTTGAAGCAAAAATCAATTTGAATTTGTTTTGAATTTGTGTTGGTTTTTGCTACTATAATAAAACATTATCAATTCCCAGTTTTGCTGCTAAAAAGTTTGATGGAAAAAGTTCAAATTCTAAAATCTCCTTTTTTTCTCTTCTTTCTTTTTCTTTTTTTCCTGATCTTTCTTTGCATTTTCTTGCTAACCAAACAGAGAGAGTGGTTGCAAAAAGTAGAGTCAGCAATTTAACTTGGAAATTGTGCATTTGATTGTTTTAGATTATTTGATGTAAACTTTCATCAAACCCATCAAAATCTATCTTTAATCTCTATGGATGTGTTTGTTTTGGGATGAGGACATGAAATTGGATTAATCCCAAATTTCTTTCTCTACTATGAAGTTTCTCTCTCCAAAATCTATTGATTCTCTCTCTCTCTCTCTTCCTTGAAATCCAGATCATCCACCACCACCACCACCACCACCGAAATCACCTCAGATTATCTTTATTTTCTCTTTTTTTTTCCACGTGGATCTGGGGTCTCTCTTTCTCTGCAAACAACTGTTAATGGGAATGGGATGAGAAGATGAAAGAGATAAAAAAAGACGGAAAAAGAAAAAAGAAAAAAAGAAAGGCATCAAAACGACGTCGTTTTGATCCCTCGAGCCATTCGGGCCACCAATTTCTCGAGCTACCTAGCGGGGTTCTAAAATTTATGATTTTATTAATAAGATTATTAATCAAAGTATTGGTATACCAAATTTATTCTACATGAATATAAAACTATTGTTGGATCAAGAGCAATATTAGGATGACAAAATTTTGGTACTTTTAGATATATTTATTATCTCAAGTTGCATGATGATATTCATGGGTTATATTAATGCAGTCGTGTCATGTTAAATGATAAATAAATTTTAAATTTTAAAATTTAAACTTTGTAACAAAGTAAATTTTTAATTTTGTTAATTTAAATTTAAATTTTTTATTTTATTTTTAATATGAACCATTTACCTATTTTAATTAGGGCAAATTACATATACACCCCTCCAGGTTTGGTTAAATTACAGATACCCCCCTGAGGTTTCGGAAATTACATCCCGCCCCCTGAGGTTTGTATTTTCATAACAATTTACCCCCTGAGGTTTATATTTCATAACAAATTACTCCCTAATTTCTTATGCAAATATAGCATTCAGGGGGGAATTCGTAATTTCTCAAACCTCAGGGGGGTATCTGTAATTTTGTCAAACCTGGAGGGGTGTATATGTAATTTGCCCTTTTAATTAAGAGCAATTACTCACTCAACCAAATTATAATGTAATTAATACTTGCGTGAGGCCTATTAATTACACACAAGGCGTTTGAGAATTGATTTTTTAATAATTTTTTTTGTTATGAGTAAAAAAAGTAAAAACAATAATTTAACAATTTATAATAATTTTTTCATTGTTTAACTAAAGTATTTGCTTTCCAAAAAACTCAAGTGACTCATTGAAAGACGAGTAAATATTTTTTTAAAAATATAACAAAAGATATATATCCAATTTATCTTTTAAAAGAATAATATAAATTTATTAATAATATTAAAATGATTACATTTGAATACCATACAATATTGTACCTTCTATAAGACCAATCACATTTGTTACCTAGAAGCATCAAATAATATGACTTAACTATTATGCTAACTCTAGACAATACTTATGAGTGTGATAATATTAAAATTTAAGAGTATGTTAATAAAAATATTAATATATCAAATTTTTCTACATGAATACAAAACTATGGTTGGGCAAACGGTAATATTAGAATAACTAAAATTTTATATTTCTAAATTTATTTAATATCTGATATTAGATTTATGGATTATATTGATGCAACAATTTCATATCAAAAAATAAATAAAATTTAATATAAAAATTTGATCAGCAGCATTACATTGTTAGACCGCATAATTGTTTCTCCTCTATTCACTCCTATCTATATTTATTATTGCTCTCTATGATTAGGATCTTATATTTAAAAATTGTATGTCTCTTATTTTAAATCAATTGTTAATTATTTTATTTTAACTATTAAATACATGAAAATCTTAACAAAAGGGAGTCTCATAAATAATTTAAAACTGGGAGGATTCCGCTCTCTCGCTTTCCAACAAAATGATTAAGAAAAAATTGCATCTCAGTCCATATTTCAAAAATAATTACAAATTATGAAAAAATTTATGATTTTTAATTATTAATATTTATAAAATTTATCATTAATTTATAAGTATTTTTTTTTTCAAAGTCCACTGATTTGATATTTCACCAATGATTAAATTAGAATTCATAGGCAACTTATACTTACCCTATATATTATTTTTATTTATTAAAGTCTCATTTTGATCTACTTATTTTCAATTGTAATAGTCAATTTATTACTTCTTAAGTCAAGTAACAATATTACCTTTCTATATCCGAATGTTAATCCATATGTTAATGAGGTTGATATATCGAAATTTAAAATGAAAAGACCAAAGTAAAATTTTGATAAAAATATATAGGTTGAGTGCTAATAAAATGAGAAAAATATCACATATTCCTCTCATATGATAAGCTGGTCAACATTATTAACATCAGATCGACAAAATGGTGACATTGCAATTTGATTTATAGAATAAAGTTATATGCACTAATTGATATATAATTAGTGTACTAACAAATGATGTGACATAATTTTAGAGGTTTTGAATATTTATAATTTGTATAAGATAGGGTCAGTAATAATGTCAATTAGTGTATGTAGCACAATTGTGGTTTATAATATAAAAGATTAATCATTACAATTAAAAATGAAAAGATCAAAATAAAATTTTGATAAAGTAATAAATGTGTGTAATTAATCCTAACTTATGAGTCCTTCTAATAACACCTAACATATCTGCGAAAACCCCTTATCTAAATTAGGCTTTGTTTGAGAAGACTAAATAAGTTTATATTTTTTTATCTTTTTATCTTTTTTAGGTCATATCAATCAACATCTCCTCTCTACTTTTTTATATATTTTTTTTATAAAAAATTAAAAAATACAATATCTAGAACATTCCAAAGAACCCCTTAATCAATTTTAATTAAACCTTTGTCTTCGTGCCTACCAATTTGAAACCCTAGCGTTTGCCACCTCTGCTTGCCATCATAGCTACTTCCGACAGTTCTATCATTGTCTCACCTCACCCATGCTGTCCCTCTCTTCACCCGTTGAAAAGGCAAAAATAAGTTGAAAAATGTATAAAGGACAATCCAGACTACATCAGTGTTATCAATTTTTTGAGTTCATGCCTACCGAATTAATTATAAAAAATAAAAAAGAAAGTGGCGAGAAAATAGGGTAGTGTTTGTTTGATCAATTTTGCTAGAGATCACTAATTTGATGGCTTTAACCTATTATTAATGAGGTGAAAAAAAATAAAAAAATAAGACACAACACATAATGTGGCAATGAGTGGGACTCACTGCCACATCATTAGTGGTAGCTCTAATTAGAACTCTCACTCATTTTTCTTGTTTGATTTTTAAAACATTATTTGCATGAAAAAAATTAAAAGTTTGTTTAGTTAATTAGTTTTTAAAGTACTACTCAAAGCCTCCGTTTGGGAAGTGGGTTGGGTTGATTTTTTGGATTTTTTAATTATTTTAACCTCGGATTAAAAAGTCTGGTTTGGGAAGGGCTTTTGACTTTTTGACTTTTTTTGCGAGAGAAATAATGTAATAATTATAGATTAGATGTGATGTTTTGTCTTATTAAGCTAAAATAGCCTATTTTATCTTATAGGACTATTTTAGCCCAAATTTTGATTTCTAAACGGAGTTAAAATGTAATTTATTCTCTCCTCTCTCCTTCTCTTTTTATTTTTTATTTATTTTTTTATATTATAATAAATCAATCTATCACTTTTCTCTCTCTTTTATCATCTCTCATTTTTTTTTAAATTCTACACATTAATTAATTAAATTTTTTTCTCACATCTATTTATTCGACTAAATCTTTTTATAAATGATTCAAAAATTATTTTCAAAATTCATATTTAAACAACTTTTAAAATTATTTTCAATAATTTACCTTTTAAAATATAGTCAAAGCACATTTTAAAAACTCAATCAAATGGAGTTTAGAGCATCTCCGACGGTGAACCAAACTTGACATCAGATTTAAATTTTGGTGAGAAAGTCACTTTTTGGAACTCTAATGGTTTCAGTAAATTGGTATCAAAATGAGAATTCACCATAAAATTCATCAAAGTGAAAACATGGTACAGATTTCACTACTTTACTGTGCGTGACCGTCTGTTGACCAACCGGTCGACCGGTTCCCTTTTAAATAGGTAGGTTCAAATCGGTCAAAAAAATTCAAACAAGTTAAAAAAATAAAAAAATTACCTTACCAGTCGACCCTCCCCTTTTGATGCATAGTTAAATAAAGAAATATCAAATTGAGAAAATTAACTTTTTTTTATTTAAATTTGATGAAAAATTTGGTTCACCGTTAGAGATGATCTTAAGATTAAAAAAAAAAGAAAAAAAGGTGACAATAGTGGTAGTAGGTGAGGTGGGAATTTGTTTTATAGTATAAAAATACAAGAAAAATAATGTTAAAAGTCCTACGTATTTTAATAAAATATTTAAAATCACTAACATTTTTCATATAAGAATGAAGGAAATTTCTCATATGACAAAGTTATAATAATGTTTGGACTTATCAACAACTCCCCTAATTTTATGTGTCCATTTATAGATGCCATACATTTTCCTCTACAAGCCTCTCCTCCATTTCTCTTCCCAAACTCTCTCTCTTACTCAAACTCTTCATTAATGTGAGTATGTAGTGTGACCAGAAGAAATGGGAAGAAGAACACTAAAAAGCCCCAAATCCTACACCCTCCCTTCTTCCCCAACCCATTCTCTCTCCTCCTCCTCCTCATCCGCCTCCGACTTCGAATTCTCCATCTCTCTCTCTCCTCTAAAATCCTCCTCCACCACCACCACCACCACCACCCTCTGCCCCGCCGACGACCTCTTCTACAGAGGCCAACTCCTCCCCCTCCACCTCTCCCCTCGCCTCTCCATGGTCCGCTCCCTCCTGCTCTCCTCCACCACCACCTCCCGCGACTCCACCGCCAGTTCCTCCTCTTCCTCCTTCTCTTCCCGCCCCAGCTCCGCCACCGACGACGACCTCAACCGCCACCACCATACCAAAATCAAAAAACCCAAAAAACCCTTCTCGCTCTCCCGATTCTCCTCCGTCTTCCGCAAAGAATCAAACCCGAATAACCCATCTGGATCATCCGTGAAGCGATTGAGCTCAACCGCCAAGGAAGTCATATTCAAGTATTTAAACAAAGTGAAGCCTCTCTACGAGAAAATGGGGGTGAAATTGAGAACAACCCATGATAGATCTATGAATTGCAGAGACGTATCATTGATTCAGAACAACAACAACAACAACAATGGTGGAGGATTTTCGAATTCGTTTTCGAGGAATTTGAGGTACCCACGTAGGAGAAACTGCGTTTCGAGCTGTCCGTCGTCGATGCGATCGTCGCCGACTCATTCTGGGGTTTTGATCGGAAGTGGGTTTTTGAATTCGAGTGGAATTAGCGGGGTGGGATGTGGAGATTCATCGTCGTCTACCATGGAAGAGTTGCAGAGTGCTATTCAAGGAGCTATAGCACATTGTAAGAACTCTATGGTTCAGAATAAGATCAGTATGGTTAGTAATGAGAGTTGAATAAAAGCATTTAAAAGAAAAAAAAATAGAAAAAAACTATAAATGTAAAAAAATTCAGTGAAATTTTTATATTTGCGTCTCGTTCTATATTTGTAAAAAGATTGCTGTTTAGCATAGCTGTAAAAAATGAAAAAATATAAGAAATTGAGATGTTTTTTTGAGTTTGGGGAGTTGATATCATTATATTAAAATTATAAAATTGTTTGTATTTTCTTTCAATTTCAAGAGTGATTCATGCAACTTATTCAATTAAAAACAAGTCAACTTTTGAAAGTAAAACGTGTAAAAATTATACTAAACACAATAGAGTAATTTTTTAAGCAGAAATGATACAGAGCTTTAACTCTCACAGACATATATCAATCATAATGCATTAAGGGTGATGGGTGCATTAAGGGTGATGGGGATTCCCAAAAAGGAGTCCCAACCTTTTTTCTTTCTTAAGTTGGTTCTGGACAAAAATTAGTTTATTTCATTTCGAAAAAGTCTTGAATGTACAGAAGATTTGTGCATAATGAGATATATATGTGGTCTTTATCACACTAATGTCTTATTCTGTGAATTTTTATTTTTTTTACTTTTAAGCACAATCATTTGATTGTTAGTGATTTTTTTTTTTTGTTTTTTTAAATCTTTAACATAAAAAAAAAATTAGAAATATGAAGAAATAGGGTAAATTATACTGACACTCTTGAGGTTTGGTTCAATTATATTCTATTATTGACATTGTAGAAATTATATTCTTATTTCTGTAATTAATATTCTCATTTTATAAACTCTTTTGTTTATATAAAATGCAACAAATCTTAATAAAAAAAAAAAAGTAAAGGGAAAGAAAGGGAGAAAAAAATAGAAGAAGTAAAGTAAAACAAAGCAAAGTAAAATAACAAAGGATAAAGTGCATGAGTTACATATTTTTATTCCGTCTAAATAATTACAATAATAGATCTATTTTGGGAAGTTGGTTTTTAGCCACTTTTTTTGGTTTGTAGCAAAAGTTAAAAGTTGGCTTTTTTGTCTTTTTTTTTTTCATTTGGGAAGTTGGTTTTTAGCCAACGGTGAAATTACAATTTTACCTTCATGGGTCAAAATGTGTTACATAGGTGAAATTGTAAATATTTTAAATAAATGTGGATAGTTTGGTCATTTTATTATGATTTGGCATCATAAACAAACATTAATCAAAAAAGCTCAAAAGTCACTTTTTTCTAACTTCCCAAATCATTTGTCTAAAAAAGCCGAAAGTTTGGTTAAAAGTTAAAAAATCACTTTTTACCATCTTCCCAAAATAAGTCATAGAGAATTAGTATAATTTTTTACATATCAAAGGGTGATATGTATTATTTAAGAATGTATGTGTAATTTATTCAAAGAAATAAATAAAAATAATAATATAAAAAAAAGCATAGGCACTATTTATCATTCGCGTAGGCACTATTTATCATTAATTAAATAAATATATTTATTTATTTTTATTTTTTTTCACATTTTTCTATAATATACATATATGCTTATTTAAATCCTTACCAATAACCCCTTAATAATTGAGCCATGAGTTGAAGAAGTGCATGTGCTGTTATTATGGAACACTCATTTGAATTTTCTTTCTTGAAACTTTGATGCTTCGAAAATCTAATAATTGTGCAGGTGTGTTTCTTGGTAACTGTATGTGAATCTGTAGTTGTTTATTGATTTTCTTGGGAGAAGGGTACTGTTGTTTAAGGCACAACAGTTACATTTTAAATATTTTTTTAGTAATTTAAATTGTTTATATTATAAGATTGGTTAAGAATATTATTTATATAAAAAATTAAGTTAATTAGATATTCATAATCCTATAATTAGGCCCTAATTATTTTTAAAAAATTATGAAAATTATGTTAATCGTTAATTTTTATAAAAACAAATTTATTTTGGTTATAGGGTTACAAATATCTAATCAAATTAATTTTTTGTATAGATAATTTACTCGATAAACCTTACAATATGAATGATTCAGATTATCAAAATACACTTGAGACAACCTCCCACAAAGGGCACAACAGTAATTACTGTATCTTAAGTGCAGCCGTAACTATTGTGCGTTAGGCACAACAGTATCCTTTCTCCGATTTTCTTTTGTTTGATGCCAAGAACTATTTATCGTCTCAAACGGATACGAGGCCACTGCTGTGCCCTCTGTTGTGCCTAAAACAACACAGTTTCACTCATTTTTTGATTTTTTTTCCCTATGTTATCACTATGTTTTTTGGCATTATAAATTACACTTTGCCCCTATATTTGGCCATTTTTTTACTTTAATTCTAAAAATTTGTTTTTTTTTATTTTGATCTTTTATGTTTCAGTTTTTTTTTTTTAGAGTTTAGAAAAAAAAAGAGTACTTTTGTCTAATTTTGAACAGAAATTAGCTGAAAAAAATTCTGAAACATAAAAGATTAAAATAAAAAAATAAATTTTAAGAATTAAAGTAAAAAAGTGACCAAATATAGGGGTAAAGTGTAATTCATCATGCCAAGAAACATAGTGAGAACATGACCAAAAAAAAAATGGAGAGTGAAACTGTGTCGTTTTAGGCACAGCAGTAATCACGTATCCGTCTCAAACAATATGCACGTCAAGGTAGGAAAATAATGACTTTTTTTTGAGAAAATGTTTGAGATTTTTTTAAAATGTCTTACAATTTAATTCATAATAATTTGATTGAATAAGTATTAATTTTTAATTAATTACACATTTAATAATATGAGATTCACCATCCTTATGGATATGTAACATTATTGTGCATATATTTATAAAAGTAAAATGTGGATATGTAACATTATTCAGCTTGTTTGTTTTGAATTTTTAGGATTTATTTTTCAAAAAATTAAAAAAATTTATTTGCTGTGTTTTTTTTTTTGTTTTTATTGATTTTTTTTTAAATATTCTAAGTAATTTTTTATTTTTAGTTTTAGATACATTTAATATAAATACACTTAAAAAGTATAATATTTATGAAAAAATTAAAAAATTCACTAAATATAAAAAATATTAAAAAATATGAGAATTTAGTATATTTTTCATATTCTTATATATTTATTGATTTTTAATTTTTTTTAAAAACATTTTAATTTTTAAATACATCTAAGTAAGTTAAAAAAAAATTTGTTTAAAATTTTAAAAATATTTGTTAAAAATAAAAAAATACAAAAAATAAAAAATTTAAATGCAAAAAAATTAAAATCAAACAAAGTAATTATTTTTTTTACTATATTTGACTTTATTAATTATATACATTAATTAATTATTATTTTCTGTTTTTGCTTTTAATTATCCAGAGAATCTTCCATGTGAGCTGTGCTAGATCGATGAATTGAATGTTTAGTCTTTTCTGATTAGAAATGACGGTGATGCATTCCATGGGAGGCGCCTTTGAAATTTCTGAAATTTCGAATTTCTTATAGGGAACGATTTGTTTCGTAGGGGCAATCTGAAAAGTCAAAAAAAAAAATTAGGATTGTTGGTTGAGTTTTGGAATTATGATTAGAGGATAGAGTTGTATTTTGAATTTGTGAGTTTTGAAATTATAATTTGAGTGTGAAAAATTTGTTTGATTATAAATTGTGAAAAGAGTTTTAAATTGAATTTGAATTGAGTAATGTGACATATGATATTTGATATAAAAACTTACAACTCATAACTAAACATACAATTTAAAATTTTATTCAAAACTCATAAAAAAATTTCACAATTATTATTTTTTTGTAATATAAAAATAACATGGGCAAAAAAAAAAAAATCGAACACTGTTCCGGTCAACCAGTGGGATGACCGGTGGGTTGATCGGTTAGTCCAAATTTGAAAAAAGCTTTCAAAAGTAAGTGTGAAATTAATTTTTAAAAACGTTAAACAAACACTACAAAAAATGAGTGTAAAACTATATTTTGAAAGTTCTACTAAACGGAGCCTTAATTTTTATTTTTTAATTTATTTTGAATCATATCATTTTTTATATTTTATATATAAAAAAAATCAAAAAATTAATTTGCAATCAACTTTCCAAATCACCTCACAATTTGTTTGTGGTTGAAATTTCAACTTTCAATTCAATTAGATGGTTGAAAATTTTAAATTATCAAAATTAATTAACAGAGGTCACTTATTAATTAGAATTAATAAAAGAATTTAACTAAACGAGATAGTTAAAGGGTTCGTTTGGTTTGTATTTCTGAAAAAATTTTGGAAATTTTCTCTACAAATAAGTTTTTAAAAGTAATCAAACCAAACAAATTTTCTCAAAAAAATTTCTCAAAACTTGTAAACCAAACAAGTTTTCCAAACAAATCTCTCTCTCACACACATCAAATCAATCACTTTTTCCACAACTCTCTCTCAAAATAATTTTCCAAAACATCTTTTGAAAAAAACCAAACCAAACAATTTTTCGTACTTTTTATCTCTAAAACACATCTCTCAAACTAATAAGAGTTCTTCGTTTATTAATTCTAACTAATAAAAGTTTTTTAATTGTTTGGTATAGTTGAATTTTCAACTAAAAACAAGCCATATCATTTCTTGTAACATCTCTCTAACAGGGCCGGTCTTGAGTTATTAGGTGCTTAAGGCGAATTTTTTAAATTAGGCTCTTTATATATTATTACCTTAAAAAAAATTTGTTTAGATAAAACAAAAAAGATAAAAATTTATTTCTATTGCATTACAATTTAACAAAATTTATTACATAACAAATATATATATATATATAATAGTTGAACTTCAATTAATTGAATCGAATCTTTATTTTTAGCTTATCAATGCTATAAGAATTAAAATTAATTGGGGATAAGGATGAGAATTTTCAACACAACTCAAGCAATATATAAAATTAGTAAGTTAGGGTTAACTATTTTTCAACATGAATCTAAGTATGACACGACTCAATAATATGAATTATTAGTTTTATATTTTAATGTTCACTAAGGGATGCGATAACATTTTTTTAATCTTTTATTTAACTCCATCTAACTGAATTAAAAAGTATGTAAAATAATAATTAAGGCTAATATCTTTTTTTCATTTAAGATATGTATTTTTTTGTTACCTATTTTAGAGTCAATCTAGTAGAAAATATATAGTAATAAGTTACAATTTTTTTAATTAGAAAAATTCAATTGAATTAAAA